AGTCCAGAAAGACGCTTTCAAGATTTAATACAATTAGCCGCTTTACGAATTAGAAAAATAGGCTAGACTAAATAGTGACGCGTTCGTTCACTTAAATAGGCCGTGTTATACCCGGTAGTTACCATCTTCCGGTTACCTCTTAGGAATTAAACACAACAACAATTACGGATTGAAAGTGTAATTCAGATGTAGATATGCAAAACTTAATATAGGTGATCAATTTAAACAAGACTAAACACATCATGGTGAATTATTCAAAATAACACAAGCAATTCCAAAAAGATATTAGAATTATCAACCACGAAAATCAATTAAGCATCATCAAGTACGTAGGGTTCGACTTCCCCGGAACTAGAAATAAAAGACTACTCTAACATGAATAAAAATAAATAATAAAAGAGAAAAGAGAGAGAATAAAATTCTCCCTCGTGTGCAGGTGCGGCCTCCCTCCGCAATTGATCTTTCTGCTCGTAAATTTCCTCTGTTGCGGCGTGTCTTTCTTTTCTCTTCTGTTCTGCGTCCTTTTTTTTTTCTTTTTTCTGCGTGGCGGCTCTGTATCTCCAAATAAAAAGTGGATGGCTGGTCTTCTTTTGTTACGTAATTAATTCTTGTGCAAGTCTCCCTCCTTTCCAAAACTCTTACCAAGTCTAATTAAATAATATGTAGGCTCCAAAATTAATTAAATCCTCCTAGCAACACTCCCATGCAATTGGGTTCACCATTCTAGTCCACTCGAAAACCAGCAAACAACAAATAATCTCATGGACCCACATTGGTATCTCTTTCAATGGGCCCAAATATGTGGCATATATTGGGCAGAGTATGGGGTACTGTTGGATCAGTACGGGACACCCCCGTACTCTGCTGGAAAAACTTCTTCATCCTTATTCGTGCATCCGCATATCTTCGTGCAATCAGAAATAGTCCCCAAAATGCTGAAAATAGATAATGAAACATCAAAGTATAGGAATTCATTCAAAAAATAAATAAGTCAAAAAATATAGATGCGCAAATAAATTAAGTGTATAGGAATACACTATTTAATATATGAAACATGCACATTTTTGGACCTATCAAATCTCCTCAAACTTAAAGCATTGCTTGTCCCCAAGCAACTTAGAACTAAAAGCACATAGATGGATAAGAAAACAAGTACGTGGAGCTTTACTTAGGACCTCACAATTCTCACATAAGTGCATAGTTCAAACAATTCAAATTAATTTATCCGGACTCAAGATAAATTTATTCTAAGAACGCAAACACATCAAGTATCAATCCAAGTGACCACAATAGGTTGTCAATCTCTATAACGAATGTACCGATCAACGCAACTCATGACACCCCTCTCTTTGTTAACAAGTCTAGTTTCTTTTCGTTTCTAGCCGAAGTCCAAACGTCTCATTCTCCACACTTTTTTTTATTCTCTCTTTTTTTTAGAGTAGGGAACGGCATCTCCGTCACAACTCGCGGGTTTTAGCCTTTCGTGATTGTCTCGATACAAGATTTATTGGAATTATACACTAGGGCCCCCACGGATTGGCATCTGTTGCAGTCCATGATTTTTTTTTTTT